AGGAACGCGGTCAGCGCGGCGAGGAGCGGGACTGCGCGGGCCATGGCGGGCGGCGACCCGGGCAGGACGCCGGGGCTCCCGCCTCTTCCCGCCCCGCCCCGGCGCGCCACTGGCCGTTCCGCCTTCAGCCTCGCTGGTCGCAGGCTTTCATTGGCCCAGCAGCCGTCCCTTTCCACCACGGGGCGCTCATTAGCGCCATCTCTCTCCGGGCAGGCCCTATTATTGGCAGCCTCCCCGTCCCGCCTCCTGGCTGCAGGTTCCTCACTGGCTCGTTCCTACCCCGACGAAAGTGAGCGCGTCTCGGCGATCGGTGGAAGAGACAGAAGGGAATCTTTGAAAGACCCTGGGTCAAGTCCAACCTGTGAGAGTTACCGGCTCTGTAGTATCCCTTCTCTGTGTCTCAGTCAGTTTCCTCTTCTATGAAACAGACCGAACAGTCCTGCTCCACCTTTTTAGGTCGTTGTGACCATCACGTCAGATAAGGGAGGTGAAACCGTTGGGCAGTGCCTGCAAGTGCTGGAACTTGCTGACCAAGCGTGCGGCCAGGGTGGCTATGCTTATGTTGAAACAAGTCCATATACTTCCAATACTGCTGTTACTTACGTGAGCTTGCAGTTTTATATTCAGTTAATATCTTTGCCTTCTACTTAAAAACAAAAGGGAAGGGTTTTATCCACTCACTTTTCAGAAAGGAGAAAAGGTAAGAAGGAAGGGGATGAGCTCCCATTTTCATCCTCTAAAAAAACAAGAGCAGCTCAGTGTGGCTAGCTGACCACGCTGTGAAGGACAAATTTCCTCTAGCAGAAAATAAAGTTAAGGATGAGATTCGGTATAAATAAGGAAAATCCATATTTATTGAGTGAAACTATTGCGAAGAAACGGAAAGGATTCAGAGATTGGTAAAAGAGCTCATAGATACGGATCTAAATAAGCTTTGTTAGTCTTAATAGAACCAAACTGGATTATAAGTAATGTGATAGATAAACACACATTTCTTATAATCTTTTATTTTTTTATTTTTTGATTTTTCTTAAAGATGACCGTAAGGGGATCTTAACCCTTGACTTGGTGTTGTCACCCAGTGAGCTCCCTATATGGGATCCAAACCCGTGGCCTTGGTGTTATCAGCACCACACTCTCCCGAGTGAGCCACAGGCCGGCCCTGTGTTTCTTATAATCTTAAAAAAAATCTTTTTGGCAATGTTTGTGTCAGAATGCAAAACCTTTTAAGTTCATTTCCAAAAACTCAAGACGTTCCCTTAAGTTTTTTTTTTAAAACAAGCATTAATTGATCACTGTGCCATGTTTTCCTATGAGCTGACTTATTCTGATTCTTGCAGTTTTTGTAGGGTAAATCATATTAAGTTTAAAATTGATCTTCTTGACTCACTTTGCTAATAATTTTAGGGTCTTTAAATCTTGAATCTAGAGCTGTGTTTTCTTTTAGGAAGTTCTTCCAACCCTAGTAGCTCATTGACAACGTATGAACTCATCAAAGTTGTAAGAGAAGTTCAAAAGAGCTGATAAGAGGAAAGGCAAGGAGAAACAATTCTGGTGGCACAGAGGTGCAAAACAACTAGCAAGACTGAGGCTGGGTGACTATATCAGTTATCTATTGCTGTGTAACAAACCTCTCCAAAACTTAGTGGCTTAAATAATCATCTATTTTGTCCACAAGTCTGCACTTTGGGCAGGGCTCAGTGAGATCAGCTCATCTGTTCCACATGGTGTCATTCGAGGCTGCCCCACTGGGGGTGGGAGGATCCACCTTCAAGATGGCTCACTGGCTGGCAAGATGGTGCTGGCTCAGCCGAAAATTCAGCCTGGACCTTCAGTTCCGCTCCACAGGCTACTTCAGCTTGCTCTTGGCACGATGGTTAAGTTCCAAGGGTAAGCATCCGAAGACAGGAAGTGGGGCTGACAGGTTTTTTAGCGCGTGGGTCCAGAAACTGGCAGTGTCATTTCCACTGAATTCTATTGGTCAAACAATCACAAATCTCCAAGGAGATTCAAGGAGAATGGACATAGGCCCCATCCCTCAATATAAGTGACAAAGAATTCTGAAGCCATATTTTAAAACCACCAGTGAACTTGAGAGCATGTACAAAGTCTGAGTGAATAGGAATAAAAATATACTTATCAACTAACTCTGGGAATATGGCAAACAATGGATTACAGAGTTGGGCATACAGATGGGACTAGAATGATGAACACTCAAGGCCAAATCCCAGAAAAGGCTAGTTCCAAAGAGGGCCATTCAGCCAGGAGACTGGATATATGGAAGCCAGCTGAGAAGCAGAGGTAAAGACAAGGCCAGATAATCAGAAGGTGGGAAGGACAAGTGGAAGCTGAAAGTCACAAGGCCACATGCCAGTGACCTGGTTAGGAGGATGGTCAGGAGTCCAACAGTACCAGGGCAGCAGTCAAAGCACATAACTAGAATCAAAAAACAAACACAAGAAAATAAGGCAATGCCAGAGAGGAAGGCAGAAACAGGAATCAGAAATAGGCAAGTCAAAGAAGTAGAAAAACAGACAAGACTTCAACACTGAGAGGGGGTTGGAAAGCTTATACTGTATGTCTGTGCTGCTGTGAGATCTCAAGGTACCTCCCCTAAGCATCAACAAGGTGAGTCAGCAGTAAATGAAGAGACCAAAGCACACCAATATAGAATATGCATTAGGCAGACAAAGACTCAACACCTGAACTGCAGTTATTTTGATTCAGGCTTTATTAAAATTGTTTCTGAATATTACATTTCATCCTTAAGTTTTCCTTATTTGATTTTGCTTTAGCATTTTAAGAGCCTTTCTTCAGTTATCAAATCCTTTGCCTTGAAGGTAAGCACCAAATAACTTTTATCAATATCAAACTCACTAATCCCTTTATGGCAGTAAGAAAAATCAGTAAAAGATTTATATGATACAAGTACTACAACACCAAGATCACCCTTCAAGTGAACCAAAGCTTCCTTACATCTATCATCTGCAAGCCAATGTCTTTTCACTTTACCATCAAGATGGGAAGTAAGAGCACTGGCACAATTTTCTTGTTATTTCAGTTTAAAAATGTGGGTTTCTTGTGGTATGGTTAATAAAATACGAGCAACTGGATGGAAAATAAGTCACCATGAATGATTAGTTTACAAACTTTTTATAATCATTACTTAACCAGACTTCCCCCTTATAGGCAGCTATAAAAACATAGGAAAAACAATGTGCATAATAAAAAAAAAAGATAAAAAATATCTGAGGGCCTACTGTAGCAGGCAATTTACACATTTCATTTCATACTCACTATATTGTGAGATAATTATTATAACCATTTTACAACTAAGAAAACAGGCTCAGAAGGGTGAAATGACTGATGCCCAAAGTCATATAGGTGACCGACCTGGGATTTATGCTCTAGTCTATGCCTACCAAGCCTATGCTCCATTATGCTGATCTGGCTCCCTAAAGCCCTTCAACTTGAGATTTTTACTATTATAGCTTCATCTTCTAATTCTAAACTCACTTTTAAAGTTTGCAAAACTACTCAATAGTAAGAGAATCTAAAATTATTCTCAATCTACTTGCAAAAACAGGAGGTGGAATGAAGTATTAGAAAACTCTTCAGATAATCAGAACATTCCATACTTACAATCATGGTTAATTCTAATTCACTGGTAATGATATCTAGTAATCCAAAAATACATGGGTAATTCTAATTTGCTCATTTTCTTATTTTCACCATCTGCCAATCTCATAGTAATGAAGGCAAGAAAGGACAAATTCCTATTGTGAAATTTGAGTGCTTATTAAATTTTCAGTGTGTACTTAGTGGAATGCCAAAAGAGGTCTGGTTGCAGTCTTACCACCAGTCTCTTGATTGCATTTTAAAAATGTATGGTTATTTGCTTTTTTAAGTTTCTAAACCTGATGGAGATGGTAGGGCCCACAGGGGTTGGCTTTATTGATACATCTCTGTGTAGCATCCTAAATAATCTATAATGTCTAAGTCTAACTTTCACTACCCCACTGAATAGGGTCATAGAGTGCCAGTGGAAGTGAATTTATCTTATGGGTAAATAACTTAAACCTAAACCTATGTAATCTGTACATCCAACACCTAACTGCCAGCTAGGGATATATCTGCATATTCATTAATCTTAAATGACTGAAGTTAATATGTAGTATTCCTTATTCAAGTTCTCACTGAAATTTAATCACTACTTTGTAGAAATTTTTTTCTTTCGGGTCCAGTTCTAAAAAGACTAGATTTTCACACTTTAGGAGAAGCAGAAAGGGTAAGACTAGATCATTAAGGCTTCTTCTAACACTAAAATATCCAGAATTCACCTCCTTTCTAAAGTCTGACTGCTGTGTCATTCATTTATTAAGTCATTTACTGGACAAATCTTTTACGGAACACCAGCTATAAGCAAGACGGGAAAAAAACAAAACAAAACACATAGGTCCAATAACTCTAGGAGGTTAATACATAAAAGAAGAGCTAGATGTTTATACAAAAGTGACCTAAGACAGACACAAAAACTAGAAAATAAAGCTTGTCAATGAAGAGGTAGTGATTTGTGAGTACCGATAAAAGAAAAAAAAAAAATTCAGAATAACTAAATGAAATGAGAAATTGTAAAAGTTTTGTCCTCATCACCTCCCCCCAAAACCTAATAAAGTGTCGCAGGGCAAATTTGACAAAGGGGCAGAGAAGTCAGTGCTGGTAGAATGAGAAGTTGTAAGTAAATTACCTACAGAGACCTGTTTGGGTCATTTAGCTGCTGCCTCAATTTGTGTGAAATGATTATATACCTAAGGAGGCTGAAAATAATTTGAAGATAGCTCAGAGCAAAGAAAGTGCAAGGTATCTTGGCCATCCTTACTTTAAAAGGACCTGGGTATCTTGATGCTCTTGCCTTCCAAGTCCTGCCTGGGCCTTTTAGCCCTTGCAAATGGGAATCAGAAAGGGGTGGGTTAGGTAGAATGATGTGAGCATAAGGCCTACCAAGCAGGGACTGCAAGGACAAAAGATGGCTAAAACAGAAAATAAAACAAAAAGGGGAAGTCCTAAGCATCCATGTCTATCAAAATCAATCCAAATGATCTAAATTTATACAACTATAAAGCTTTATCATCTAAGTACCCAAACGCTGAACCAATTCCTACTGCTTCCTTTTTTCCACAAAATACAATATACAATTCTGTGAAGGTTATTCCTATTATAGGGACCATGAGAAAAGAACATTTAGTTGGAAATACACAGTTAAAGGAATTTTGGATTCCAAGTCATCAGACTACCAATTTAAAAATAATTGTTGTAAACATATTCTGATAAAGGCCATAGGAACACTTGTCACATTGTTCAAATGTCTAATGGCAAGACTTCTGATAAGACCAAACAGGTCACATTAAATCAATAAAATACCTTAGAAATAAAGCCAATATGACTAAATCCAAAAGAGATCACATGAAGTACCTCATGTACAATACAAACCTAGTTTAATAAATAAAGGAAACACGGTGACTGCACTCTGAGAGAACATCCAGTTCCTGATGGCCTGTTCATAGTCTTTTCTGAGACTCCACTGCCACTTCCACCTGGGCAAGTCTAATGGTACGGCCATGAAGTTTGTAGCCATCTTGCCTTACTAATGCCACGGTACCAGGCTGCACCTCAACACCAGCTGGCACATGACACATGAGTTCATGCTCATGAGGGTCATATTTGTCACCGATTGGTTTTATCTTCTCAAGGCCATGCTTGGCAAACACACTTTTCAGCTTTGCTTCTAAAAGTGATAGCCCTCGGAAGACCTTCTCCAGAGTAAGCTTCTTGTCCCCAGGCTCTGTTTCTTCAGAAATGTACTCTGTAGTCTTCTCCAAAATGTCTGCCACCTCCACCAAGTCCTTACAGAAACTCTGGATACCTACAGAGAAACCAGACACTTTTATTGTTTGTGAAGAAATCACTTTGCCCTTTGGGTTGAGTCTGGGGAAGGCCCAGATAGGTGGCTAGTATACTGGGTATCCCAGAAAGTGGAAAGGTTGCCACAAAGGACTCAGGGTTCATCATTACCATCCCAACCCAACTGACAAGTCAGTGTCTCTCTCAGGAGGCATGTATGACTAGGAACACTACTAGGAAATGGAGATGGTTAGAACCCAAGAACTAGGTAAGACCATATACAATAGGTTCAAAAACTTTTGCTTTTAAAACAACAGTTTTTATGTTTCTTATATTTTTGTTGCTATTCATACCTTTAGTATTGAGTTATGTACATTTTGAAAGTTCCTACCTGTCTCAGTTGTGCTAAGACACACATTCTCAACAGGGAAAAGTATTAATATTTCATGGGGGGGAAAGATTAAAAAAAAAGTTGACAACACAATGCTAAAGGGTGTCAAGAGTGGTTTATTCCTAAAGCGTGGCTAAATAGGAACAGAAAAGTAAGACATATCCATAGATGAGGTGAGTTTCCAATTGCCTGCTATGTAGTTGCTGGAGATGGGCCACAAAACTTTGTCTAATCTTTTTAGAGTTACATGAACTGTTATAAAAGTAAACTCAACTGTTGAGAAATCCTACATTACTCCCAATTCTGCAACTTAATAAGAGAGATGACAAAGGAGAGATTTCCTAGACTTGTCTGGATGGGATGAAAAGACTGACAGGTAGAAATTCTACCTTTAACTTCTGGGTGATAGAGATCTACTAGAGCTTCTTAAGTAAAACAAGTAGAAACATGATTCAAATTAGCTGAATGACAGCATACATAATGGATTTGGGGTACTATAGCATGACAGATGGAGTGGGAAGGAAAGAAAAAATGGGAGATCCAACTGAAGTAATGTAGTTATGACATGGTCTGGTTTAGAAGAGAAGGCAATGGAAAGAGTGTAATCAAGAGACATTTCCAGGGACCAGCCTTGGTGTGATCAAAGTTCCACAAGATATCTCCTCCCACCCATTAGGGATGGGAGCCATAAAATGTTAATGTCTATTAATAGATCAGTTATGAAAGTAGAAGAGATTAGTCAAACACTTGAAAAGTACTCTGATAAGAATTCCACACAAGAGTAAAGAATGTCTGGTAATGATCAGTCAGGAACATCAAAGGCATCGAAGGCTATTCAAAGGAAGACAATACAGTACTCTAAGAAAATTTTGAAAGCAGTAAGCTTCTGGGCCAATTTGTACACTACCAGCGTACAAAAAGACCTAACTTCTAGTCAGTAAAGTTGTGTAAATTTGGGTAAACAGAAGCCAAGGTTCTCTTGTCTGTATAGTGAGAGGTTCAGTCTCTAAGCTAATTATCCGGTAACTTTAATATATGGTTGGTGACTACATAATCTCTTAGAAAAGAAAATGGGTCTTTGTGACCTGTTTAAGAGAAGGTGGATTACTGGGACAAAACTATCCCTAGAAGGTCAGATAGTCACCAGGCCCTATCCCCTTACAAGCATTCTACTTTTCTTCTACTTCCATGCTCACCCAGCAATCTTCAATTTTCTAAGTATTTCTGGCTGCTAGGAGGAAATGACCTAAGTAAATTACTATGTGGCATCTTTGGCTATACAAATTTTGCTCCATAAATTAATAAATCAGACTATCAAATTCCTTTGAGTTTAGTTAATATGAGGGGACTTCAAAAAGTTTGTGGAAAAATGGAATTAAAAGATAAAAATAAAAAATATAAAGTTTAATTATTAACATAAGCTCCATCAAGTTCAAGACACTTTTGTAAGTGATGATACCAGCCATTTAGTCCATCCTTAAAGAACTGAGGGTCCTGGTAATTTAACCATGTTAATGCAGTCTTTTTTACATTATTAACTAAAGAAAAATGGGTGTCCTTTAAAGATTTTTAAGATTAGAAAACAAAAAGGTCAGAAGAAGCCAAATCAGGACTGTAAGGGGGATTTCTCTTTGAAACGCTTGAAAAATTCCCCTTGTTTTATGAGAGAAATGAGCTGGAGGACTCTCTGGTGAAGTCTTCCCAGGCGTTTTTCTGCTAAAGCTTTGGCTAACTTTCTCAAAACACTTTCATAATAAGCAGATGTTCTCATTCTTTGGCCCTCTAGAAAGTCAACAAGCAAAATGCCTGGAGCATCCCAAAAATCTGTTGCCATGACCTTTGCTCTTGACCAGTCTGCTTTTGCTTTGACCTGACCACTTCCACCTCTTGATAGCCATTGCTTTGATTGTGCTTTGTTTTCAGGATCGTACTAGTACTGCCACATTTCATCTTCTGTTACAATTCTTCAAAGAAATGCTTTTAAGATCTTGATCTCACTTGTTTAAAATATCCATTGAAAGCTCTACCCTTGTCTGCAACTGATCTGGGTGCAACAATTTTGGCACCCACTGAACCTAGAAAAAGTTTGCTCGACTGTAATTTTTTTCAGTCAATCTTGTGTAAGCTGAACCAATCGAGCTGTCTATGGTGTTAGCTATTGTTTCTGCTGTCAATTGTTGGTCTTGAATTAGGGCACAAACAAGATTAATTTTTTTCCTTGCAAATTGATGTGGATGGTCTGCCACCGCAGGCTTCATCTTCAACATCATCTCATCCCTTCTTAAAACGAGTTATCGGGGCCTGCCCGGTGGTGCACTGCTACAGTGCGCCTCCTGGGAAGCGTGGCAGCGCTCCCGCCAAGGGTTCGGATCCCACATACAGACCGGCCGCTCACTGGCTGAGCGAGGTGCGGGAGCAACACCGAGGGTTGCGATCCCGTTGCCGGTCCCGGTCCGGTACGGGCGCGACACTGAGGGCTGCGATCCGTTGCCGGTCATGAAAAAAAGACAAAAAGGAGAAAAAAAAAAAACGAGTTATCTGTTTGTAAACTGCTGATTTCTTTGGGGCATTATCCTCATTAGCTTTTTATGAAGCACCAATGATTTCACCATTTTTCCACCAAACTTCACCATAAATTTGATGTTTGTTCCTACTTTAATTTTAGCAGAATTAGGGTTGCTCTAACAGTGGCTCTTTTCAAACTAATGTGTTATCCTTTTTAGTGCCTCAAACTAGATCCTGTTCAGACAATTTATAACCTAGTTAGAGTTTATTTTGGTGGAAAAAAATTTGAAATCCATGCATAGTTTTTTAATAATATGCATTTTCCATAACATTTTTGAAGACTCCTCATATGTGTTTGCTCCCAGGTATTTTATTACTTCTTGAGTAAACTGATATAAGTTAGTCCCTAACTCAAAGCTTGACTTCTGGTAAAGCCTTCCCATCCCACCCCACTCAAGCAGGAGGTACAGCAGGAAGTCTTCTCCTGTTATCATAACTGGTCTATTTGCTACAGGTAGTCCCAGTAAGCTCAAAGGTCAGAAAATTTTTTTCTGAAAAGGCCGTACAGTAACATCCAAGGGCCCCTCAAGCTCTTTCATTCTATATGTAGTGACAGGTAATACAATGCCCCATATGAACTGTAGGTACAGCAAGTAATCATAGATTTGCCCTTTATCCTTGAATCCCTGTTAGTCAACTAACACTTTCACAAACACCTTTGGAACAAGATATGGTGTGTTTAGAGAAAAATTTCTGAAAGACTTTGAAATGAACCAAAAAGATTATTCAATGTCTTCCATGAAAAACAGATGAGGTCTATCACATCTGATTATTATGATTCTGTGGTCTGAGGCTTGTCTTCAAGCTATGCCATTTTATAACTCAGCAAGCTGCAGATTACTGATAGTAATGCAAAAGAATCTTGTCCACAGTAGTGAAAATTGTTGGGTGGAGATACTTGATTATTTCCCTATGGATATAAACAAATTTTACTTCCATTTAGCAAATTTCAGCATTCCTGATTGCTTATGTGTCTGCTTTTTTTTGATTCTCCTCTGAATATCTTGAAGATTCACTTTTCAATTATAAGCTAGACAGAATTGTTAGTATAAGCACTGGAATGTTGACTGTAGCAATAGTAATTGTATATGCTTGGAAAATACAATAAACAAAGATTTGATCAAAATAAAGGCCAGCATTATTTTAGCAAATGGTTAACTTGACACCATTCCTGAAAAGTTTCCCAGAAAGCCTACAGAGATACTAGAAGGGCAGGGGAAGGATCGTTAAGAACCCAGATGTGCTTTTATTATGCTTAGTTTGCAGAACTGCTAGTAAATGTTCTTAAACTGAAAAGACATTTTTATTGTGAACAAATCTCTCACCAAATATCTTGGCGTCTTCCACACATCTCTGGGTTCGCCTCCTTATGTTTTCACAATCAGCTACAGCTCTCTGGTATCTCACCTGAATATCAAAAGCAAAGTCAAAAGGATGAGAAGATGAGAAGTTTTTGCTTACTTTATAAATTTCACCCTTATGATAGGTTTCTATAAAACAAACGAGGTGCTGTACAATTCTTAGATCAGCTAGTCCAGTTCTCCAGCCAAAGCAGGAACCAATTCTTTAGCAGCCCTGAGAGGCAGTCATTTATTTAGCCTGCTAGTTTGAACATTTAACTGTTTGCATGCTCCTCATTTTGTGAAAAAATTTTCCTTTTCACATTCAGCCAACACTGCCAACCTCCAACTTTCTTTCATTGAATTAAACACTAGGACAACTGAGAGTAAGTTTTAAAAGGCAGTTATTTCAGCTCCTTTAGTCCTTTTCTCTTTCTTCTTACAATTCCTGTTTCCTTCAACTGTTCTCATAAGACATGCTTTCCAGCCTCCTTACCATTCTGGGTGGTTTTGCTTTGGAATTACTCGGGTTTATCTATCGCCCTCAAAGTGTGTTTGTCAACACAGGACGGGGTCCAGTATGCCAGATGTGGTCTGATCAAAAGAGTACAATAGTCAATGTCTGTTTCATGCCAGGCACGGTACCTCCTTTAAACTGCCAAAACATCAGATATCTAAGTGCTGTGATACAACAGGGAAATGAAAAGAAGTGACTATCCTTAGCCAGTGGTGTTTTTGAACTATTGCAGATTTTTTTTTACCTAGTATACCTAAAAAGAAAGTGGAGGAGAGGTGAGGAGTAAAGAGCCAATTAGAGGGAACTTCACTTTAAAAATTAACAAAAAAAACCCTACTTGGATATGTAAACCAGAGAGAGAATGTGAGGAACAGATAATAATATAAAATCTACTCACTGTTAAATCCTGGACTTCCTTCTCCAGCTTAACAGCTTTTAGCTTTAAGGCTCGTTCGGCAAGAGAGGGTCCAAGCTCATCAGGAGGGTCCTCAGAACTGCAGTCCTCACCGGCAGTTCTCTGGGTGGCAGTGCTAAATGGATGCAGCCATCCCCTAAAGTAGGAGAGAGATGGCACGTAATGTAGAAATAAAAAGCCAAAACTGCAACAGTTTACAGAGACCAGAAAGTTTTCCAGATTGAATTTCCTTTTTTTGTTTTTGGGCATCTAGCCAGTACAGGGATCGAACCCTGGACCTTGGTGTTATCAGCACCACACTCTAACCAACTCAGTTAATTGGCCAGCCCTCCAGATTGAATCTCTAGACAAAGTGCTTTCAGTCACAGTAACAAATGAACATTTATGAAGTCCTTACTAAGTACAAGACACTGTTTTACCTGAATCATCTTCTCATCTCACAATATGTGAGTTAAGTGCTATTGTTATGATGCTGAAGGTTGAGGCTTAATGACTTGCTCAAGATCACACAGCTAGTATTCTGTTGGGCCAAGATACTGAGCACCACCAGACAGAAATAGTCAGAAGTAGATACACAAAAGACAGCAAAGAGGAAACCAAGTGCTAATACCCAGAACAGAGGGGCAATATCTGAAGTGGGAATTCAAAAACACAAAGTCATACAGTTCTGGTTCAGCCCTTCATCTTACAGATGGGGAAAATTAAGTTCAGTAAAGGGACCCTATCAGACTGGAGTTAGGCTTAGAATTGTAAGCCTTCCTGACCACAAGCTGTTAAAGATTTTAGGAAACAGACCTGTGCTGAGAAAGAGAAATACTGTTGGGAATGCATCCATATGTAAAATCAAGCCAATTAAATATTTATAAAACACTTAGTATAAGTATACATGGGTACTTCAAAAAGTTTGTGGAAAAATAGAATTAAAAGATAATATGAATCTTTCCAGAAACTTTTTGAAGTACCCTCATATGCTATGGCCTGGGGACTATGAACAGGTGGATAAAACAGATCTGTATTCAACTAGTTATGTAATCTAGAATTTCGTATAGCTAAAATGTTTAATACTTAGCTCAGTTTACATAGAAAAAAATTTAGACTGGGGTTAGTTTACAGTAGATCTTGGACGGTGGCAGTTCTGACCCCTAGTTCAAGGAAGTTTCCATTACACCTCCTGGGTCCTTGTAATTTGATTTTAAGTAAAATTATCAAGAAAATCAATCTACAAGTACAAGAGCTCTTTAAAACAAATAGTTAATTTACATGAACTGGCATATATTGGAGAGTGGTCACTGAGGTGACAACTGAGCAAATGAGTTTGCTGTAAGAAGGGAAGAGCATTCTGGCAGAGGGGAGTTTAAAGATGTGGGCAAGAGAACTTTTATCTCCCAGACTTTAAGTAGACCTGTGAAAATAATCTGAGGCACTGACAAAACATCAAAGAGTTTATTTGAGCCAATATGTGTGACCACAGACCAGGAAAAAAGTTGCCCTGTGAAGCACTTTCCGAAGGGCCAGCAGAACTTTAGTATTTTGATAATCACAGAAAAGTGAAGAACAAAGGGGAGAAAAGACGACAGCCCCTTAATCAGCACATCAGTTTTTCTATTGATTATACAGAATCATATGGGTTAACGATTGGTTCTTGGTGGCATCCTAGCTACAGATGTATGAGTTAGGGTCACAAGATACATTTTCAGCATTCCTAAGTTAATAGAACTTCTTCAGCTGACAGTGAATCTGCTGGTAGGTTAAAAATAGTCTTGTAACAGTTCCAGAATGTGTGGGCATGGCTGCCACCCCATTCCAGATTCCCCAAGGCTATTAAGAATTCAGCTGACCTCAATCAGAGCAGATTTCTGGTTTATCACTTTCCAGGTTGGTCTTGAATTCAATTATGATGATCTGCCATGTGAGTACATATATATGGTTCCAAATTTTTGGTTCAGAAAACATGGTCACCACAGATCTGGGGCAAATTACACAAGGTGAAATATGCCCCCCCCCCCCACCCCACCCCCGGCCCTTTACAAAAACATATGTATCCAACTGAAAGCAAATCAAAATATTCTCAGGGTCAGTTTAGATGGAAAATGGCCAGAGCTCAGATGATAAAGAGGGGAGTTGTGGCGATTCCAATTCCTACTGCTTCAGAACTGGAGTGGCATTAACTCATCAGAAGGAACCATTTATCTTCTAGTCATTTCCTTAAACCACCACCAAACTGCCCAAAAGACTTGAATACAAAAAAGTAAAACAAGGGCCGGCCTGTGGCTCACTCGGGAGAGTGCGGTGCTGATAACACCAAGGCCACGGGTTCGGATCCCATATACGGATGGCCGGTTTGCTCACTGGCTGAGCGTGGTGCTGACACCAAGTCAAGGGTTAAGATCCCCTTACCGGTCATCTTTAAAAAAAAAGTAAAACAAAAACCCTAAATTCAATCTCTCGCCTAAGTGCTAAAGCGGGATGTTGGGTCAGCTGTGTTAAGATAATAAAGGTGACAAATAGTTACAGTTCAGAGGTCCAATCCTACCTCCTACACAGCCATTTTTATTCTCTTTCCCAGGATGAAATTACTCTCTATAGGAACAGTCCCAGAGAATAATTAACATCGCTCACTAAATAAAAGCGCCGACTCTAGAGCCCTGACTGGTTTGCTGCCCGAGTTCTACACTTTCCGAGTACTTAAGTTTGGAGAAGCTACTCAACTTTTCTAAACCTGTTTCTTCACTTGTTAAGCAGGAAAAACAAAACAAAAAACTATACATGGTTCTGCAGTCGGCACGGTAAGCGATCAATAAAAGTTGCCCAAGGATAAAGGCAGATGGAAGGGCAGTTTGGGGAAACCAAGTCCAACGCCCTCCTTTTACCGACAGGCCTATGATCACAGAGTCAGAGGAGAGAACCCAAATTTACCCGCAGACACCACAGCTGGGGAGAACGGGCCAGGAGAGAGGTACAACCTCAATTCAGTCGATCCTTGGGGCTCAAAAGACTTTCCGCCTTCCTCGGCCTGGGAAAAAGGCGCGGCTGTGGGCCTCAGTTTCCCCCTCTGTAAAGCGGGGCCGCGAGCGCCCAGTCGTAGAGGTCGAGAGGCTTGGTGGGACCTCTCGCATGAATCTGGATAACGCTCGCTCTCCAGCTCACAACCGCCCGCCAGCTTGCTCGTCCCGCATTGTCCTGACGTCCCCGACCCCCTGCCCGAAATGCTTACCAGCTATCCGACGCGGCACTCGAGGTTAGGAGGCGCTGCAACCGCCGCGGGACCGCCCACAGCGACCGCGCAGCCATATTCCTGAGCAGGGATGACGGAAGCAGCGCACGCGCGCCTGCTGCAGGTGAAGAGACGCGCTCACTTAAAAACCACGCCTCCCGTCAGCCTTTGCGGGCGTTTTCTTCTCAGGGCTTCCGGACGGGAAAGAAGTACTTCCGCTTGTCCTGTGCACTTCGCTGTTCCCTATCCGGTCTTCCGGACCAAAGGCAGAACTTCCGGTTCTCAGTACGTTGGGCGCATAGGACGGGTCCTTGTCCTAGCTAGAATCTGGGTGCTAGGCGCGGGGTACGCGGCAAACGAAGCGGATCACGGCTCTGTCTTCATGGAGTTTATGTGAAGTTATAAACGATTAACAAATACAAGCGCGATAAAAGCGCGATATAAAATCAGAATATCACCAGTGTTTAAAGGTGAGGGGCATGGTACTGCGGAAGCCTAGAATACAAATGTGCCTGGGTGTGGGAAGTTTTCCCAATGGGAAGTGATATGTGAATTGAGAGCAGAAGAATGAGTATAAAAAGAGGAGGAAAGTGGTTCAGGTAGGGTGAAACATCATATGCAACGACCCAGCGAAGAGGGAAGAGTATTGCAAGTAAGAGACTGAAATAAAGGAAAGGTGGGGGTGAGGGGTGGTAATATAATACTTGTGGTTAGGCAGTGCCAGATCTTGTAAGCGATTTAAAAAATTGCAGCCTGAACCCACCTTCGCCCATCACTCTACTTGCTTTTTTTCCCCAATGCCCATATTTTCCGACAACTGTTTTTCAGTGATGTGTATTTGTATTGTTCCTTTTACCTCACTAAAATATAAGCTGCATTAGGGCAGAGATATTTCTGTCTGTTCATCTTCAGTGAGCAGTGCCCTAATGTAGGCGTTCAGATTTTTCTTGCTGATTGAACTTTAGTCTTATTCTGATTGCAGTGGGAACATGGGACAAAGCCTTTCCTTTTTTTTTTTTTTTGCGGCTGGCAGGTTTGAAGAATCACTTTGACTGCTGTATGGTGGAACTTGCAGGGTTTAAGAAAAGAGGTAGGGAAGACAAGACAAATTGTTTCAGTATCCCAGGCAAGAGAGGGCTGTGCTCTGTCCTGGAATCACCTAAACAAAGGGACCTTTATAATCACCTTATCTAAAGTAGTTGTGTCCAGCATCCTTTTTGTTTTTGTATTTGTTTTGCTTCCTTTTTGTTTGTTCCCCCAGCTAGAGTGTGAACTTCATGAAGTTTCTGTCTTGTTCACAGCTGATTTGACATCTCGTATGTTCATCTTCAGTGAGCAGTGCCCTAATGTAGGCGTTCAGATTTTTCTTGCTGATTGAACTTTAGTCTTATTCTGATTGCAGTGGGAACTTGGGACAAAGCCTTTCCTTTTTTTTTTTTTTTGCGGCTGGCAGGTTTGAAGAATCACTTTGACTGCTGTATGGTGGAACTTGCAGGGTTTAAGAAAAGAGGTAGGGAAGACAAGACAAATTGTTTCAGTATCCCAGGCAAGAGAGGGCTGTGCTCTGTCCTGGAATCACCTAAACAAAGGGACCTTTATAATCACCTTATCTAAAGTAGTTGTGTCCAGCATCCTTTTTGTTTTTGTATTTGTTTTGCTTCCTTTTTGTTTGTTCCCCCAGCTAGAGTGTGAACTTCATGAAGTTTCTGTCTTGTTCACAGCTGATTTGACATCTCGTATAGTAGGTGATCAATAAATTTTTGTGTGATGAATTAATGATGTTGGGTGTTGTCAGTGAAGATAGGAAGATGTGGATGAATTTCAGAGATTTAGGATGGAAAGCTGACAGGTCATGAGGACGGGGTGGTGATTGGGGTCCAGAGCACTTGGAGGTGCTGACTTGGTAAGCCCCTAAGGTAAAAAAAAAATTTTTTTCTTTTTAAAGGAATGGGAAGTGTTCCTTCAGCACTATGAATCTTCACCGTAATATGGCTTACTTATACTGTAGCTATGTGAGTCAGATTTTCTCTCCTGCTGCTTGTCTGTGAGTTCCATGAAGACACAGCTGGAGTCTTGCATCTTTATACTCCATCCAAGGTTCAACTTAAATATATTATAACCAACACTTAATGTTTTCTTTTGGCCTTATGAAAAGAGCATATTTTTTAGGGAGGGATTACAAACCCCCTTTTTACATGAGAAAATTGAAGCTCAGAGAGGTTAGTGAACCTGTGCAAGGTCCCCACTGAGGATCCAGTGGCACTAGAATTCTGACAGACCAAACACTTAGCAGTGCAAAGATGGAGTTTCAAGTTCCTTCAGACCTGTGGCCTGCACTGCACTTTGAAAAAACAACCAAACAAGGTATTTTAACAAGCAAGAACAAGAATGGGCATCTGTGCTTTGGCCTTTTTTGGTTACATTTCTCTTAGCTGCTCAACTTAAACCAAGTGTGCTACATCCATCCATCCATTCATCTATTTATTAAGTGCTAATGCGCTTCTGAATGCTGTGGTGCAAGGGGAGGGATACACATAGATGAAATACAGCTTTGGAATTGAGTAAGACTTATATTCAAGTTATGGCTCCACCAATCCCTGTGTGAGCTTGGGCAAATTACCTAACCTCTCTGGGGTTCCACTTCCTGAACTTTGAACACTGGGATAATATAATCTATCTCACAGGTTTCTAGTGAAGACTAAAAGGATAATGCCTGGAAAAGTGATTAATTAGCATCGGGACTGGCTATATAATTTAAAGAGCAAAAGGAAAATGCAGAACCCATTGCTCAAAAATTATTAAGAAGGCAACAATAGAGTATTACGCCGAGCACAGGGCCCTCCTAACTGTGGGGTTCTGTGTGACTGCACAGGTTGCGTGCCTGTGAGACTGACCATAGCTAACACGGTGCCTGAGATGTAGTGAGTACTCAATAACTGAATTATTAATTACCTAGCGTTGCTCCTCTCAAAGAGTCTAAGATCTATCTGTGGGAAAAGACACTTAACCACAAAATAACTACATAAGGAAGAATGTGACAGACACCGAGGACATAATGGTGTGCTGGGTATCATTCCAAGATCCACATTTTAAAAAAAGAACATTGACAATCCAGAGTATGTTGAGTTCCTTTGTTACTGAAGACACTGAGGTAGAATTTGGGTGAAAATTGTCAGCTATTAATTGGCTTCCTTTTAGCTTTTGGTGGTTGTGATTAACCATGTTGAAATCATTTCTTCCTTAGTGGAAAGAACATAGGCTTTTGAGTCTGACATTTCTTATCCAGCTAACAATAAGATAACCACTATCGACTGAGTATTTCCTATTTGTTGGGCACTATGTAAGATGTTTACCATGTATTAGCTCATTAAATTTCCCCAGTAGTCTTGAAAGGAAAGTACAGTTGTTAATCCTGTTTTCACAGATAAGGAAAGCAAAAATCAGAGAGGTCAGGCGACTTTCCCAGGTCATCCCACTGGTCAGTGGCAAAGGAAGGGCTCAGACCCAGCCTTATCTGAATCCAGGCTCATAACTCTTAAGTCCTGTGCTCTGTTGCTGATTAGCTGGGTGATTTTGGTCAGGTTATTTTTCCTACTCTGGTCTTCAGCTACCTCAGGGTAGTAATGTTTGTATGAGGCTACAATATGCAAAACGTTGGGGTAAAATATGTATTGCTTCTAGCAAAGTGTCCAGAAGTTATTCTGGGATTTCCCTTCTTTCCCCTTGAGCTAACCTAGACAGACCCATAAAGTGCCTACAGTGTTGAGACATTAATGAATGGCACAGTAAGGAGACTGCGCAGGACTTGAGGTCCTTGCTCCCATATAAAAGTATCAAGTGTTTGTAAAAGGCTTAGCACCTGTGTGGCAGAAAAGAGCCACCATCCTCTTGGTTTTCCCTGATAGTTTTACTTTATAGCAGATATGGAAGGGCAGACTAGGGGGCCTCTGAGTGCAAGATGAGGACTTCATTATTATAAAGACTTAGTGTCTACTGGATTTCTAACCATAGCCTCAGGAGCCTTAGTGTCATATGAAATAGGTAAAGGACTTGACTGATAGCAAATGACCGCACCTTACAATGCCTGCAACATTCTGTGTACATTAAAACTCCATGCTGCTGTCACTGATTATCACTGCAAGCTTAAAATATGTCAGTTGCTCAACTGCTGTTTGCTTTCTGCATATGCAGATCTTGATTTTAAAAATCAAATCTGAAAGATTCCAGTAGGTGCACTCTGCCTAGCTCTAAAGTAGATGAGAATGACTGTAGAATTTGGATGTTGTCTATAGTTTTTGTTCACCTTTCACAGGCAGGGATAATGTTACTGATTTTTCAGCCTATTTGCCTTGCCCAGAGGTTATCAATAATGCTTAAAATGAATCCAGTTGGCACAAGTGTGATCAGATGATCAAGTCTCATCTCTTTACACTGCACCACTGATGCCTCAGCACTGCCTTTGCCTCAAGGACTGGGATTGAGATGAGATGTGATGGAATGGCTTATTCACATGTGCTTTCATTTCTTCTTGAAGAGAAGGCAAAGATATCTAACAAAATCTTTACAATTTTGCAGATTTCTGTCTCCATCCACTACCATTTCCACCCTTTGGAAAGTCATACGGATGCCTTTCATTTTCCTCTTCCCTTTTACTTTTCCCCTCCCCTTATCCCCTAAAATCATGCAGACAATAAAGGCTGGTCTTTTGGGTGCCCCGGAGAGTGGGGGCTACTTCCAGTCTTCTCCTGGCATCTCCTTGTGGAAAAAGCATTTCCGCTTTAGATGGAGAAGCTGATATTTCCTTTGGAATGAAATCCTCATCCTCTTCCTAGGTCTTCTTCATTTCCCATTCCTGAAGTACAGAAAGACAAGACAAATCAGTCTTGTTCTTGTGTGACTTGTAGAATAAAAACATTCACTACACCTCATTATATAAAGATCTCTGCTAGCCAGCCTAGAGGGCCTCGGGTCTTGGTCCCACTCTCTTTCTTCCTGCAACCCTGATTAAGTCACTTCTCCATGCTGTTCTCTCTTGTCCCCTCATCCACTCTCAACATAGCAGCCAGAAAGTTCTTTTAAAAACGTAATTCATATACAAAAATTCCTTCCTCAAACTTTCCAATCACTTTTCATTATATTAGAACAAAATGCATAGTTCCTCCAATGGCCTGCAAGGCTTTAGATAAAGGACTGGCAAACTGCTGCCCATGGGCCAAATCTGGCCTATTGCTTGATTTTTCATAACCTGTTAGCTAAGAATGGTTTTCACATTTTTAAATGTTTGAAAAAAATGTTTTATAAAAAATCAGAAGAATATTTTATGACATGAAAATTATGTGAAATTCAAATTTCCGTTCCCATAAATAAAGTTTTATTGGGACACAGCCATGTGCATCATTCATTTACATATTGTCTATGGTTACTTTTGTGCTACAAAGGCAGAGTTGAGTGGTTGTGAAACAGATGATAAGGTCCACAAAGCTGAAAATATTTACTATCTAACCCTTACAGAAATAATTTGCTGACTGCTGTTCTAGATGATCTGGCTTCTAGCTGGTTGCTTCTCTGATCTCATCTCCCAGTGCTCATCCTTTGTTCTCTTCTCTGGAATCACTTGGTTCTTCTTGATATTCCTCAGATATGTCAACCTTTTTCCCACTTCAGGGACTTGGCACCTGCTTTTCTCTGCCTGGATCATCCTTCCTTCAGACCCCCACATGGCTCACTCCCTCACACTCCCTTCTGGTCTCTTCTTATGTGTCATCTCCTCAAAAGGGTCTTTGCTGTCACTGTGATTAAAACAGCCACATCCTGCCCCATCACCCTCTCGGCCCTTTCCTACTTTATTTTTCTTTAAAGTACTTATTACCATCTAGCATCATACTATATATTTATGTGTGTATTTAAAGTCTTGTCTTTCCAGCTCCACGAGGACAGGAACTTTTTTTGGTTCCTTTCTATGTAACCAGAACCTAGAACAAGACTGGTACATAGTAGGTCCTCAACAAATATTTATTAAATGACTGAGTAACTATAGGAAAGAATAATGGCTCTTCCTTCTCAGGCTCTTAGAGTCAATTCCAACCTGAGGATGCAGATCCAGGCTAGAAATAGAGCTGTGTATTTTAAAAGTTCATGCTAGTGTGATCATATACAAAATTGGCAAGCAATCCCAAAGCACTGTTGACATGAAGGTAATAAATAGCTGTCCTTAAATGTATACTGATATGATACACAACTTCAGGCCATGAGATGATGAGGTGCTGCCTGCTTCTCCCCTTCAACTCATTCACCTGTTCCTCTTACTTTCTGTGCTCCATTCTCTCTATGCTCCAGCCTCTCTGGCTCTTCAAGGCTACCAGATACTCTTGAGAGCTTTTGTACTTGCTGTACCCTCTTCCTGGAATGCTTTTGCTGTAGATCTTGTGCTGTTCCTTCCTGTCATTTGAGTCACTGCTTGGAGAGGCTTTCTCTCATCATTTTTATCTATAGCTCCAACCCTGTCTCTAGTTCTTGTTATATATTTTTTGTAGATGTATCACTTTTTGGAATTATCTTTTTACATTAACTGGCCACTTATGTATTACCTCCTTTCACTAGCTTGTAAGCTCCTTGAGAGTTGGGACCCTGTCTGTCTTGTTCACTGCTTTATCTACCAGTTAAACCTCAGTCTCCTCAGCTGTGCAATGGGGCTAAGAATGCTGGCTTTGCTTGGATATTGAAAGATGAAATGAAAGAACATGTTGAAAGTGTCTAGCAAAGTGCCCGACATTGAGCAGGTGCTCAATATGTGTTTCTTGAATGATTGTAATTTTTCCACTACTCTAAACAGGATGTTCCCCCTTTTATTTTTCTAACTTTTAATTTTTATTTATTTTTGATTTTGTATAAGTATATATTGTGAAATGATTATCACAGTCAAGTTAGTTAATACATCTGTCACCTTACCTAGTCACCATTTTAGTTTTTGTGGTGAGAACATTTAAGATCTACTCTCAGCATATTTCAAGTATACAATACAGTATTGTTAATTGTAGTCACCATACTGTACATTAGAGCCCCACAACTTATTCATAACCAAATGTTTGTACCCTTCGACCATCATCTCCCTATTTTCCCCACCCCTCGGCCCCTCATAACCACTACTCTCCCCCTTTTATTTTATATTAATAAAGATTAATTTTATGTTTTCCTCTTAAAAAAGAGATTGTTCCTTGAAAACTCATTGGTCTCCACATTTCTTGGCTTGGAATTTGTGTCCTTCTATATCAAGTTATCCTTCCAGTTTCATATCCCACCAATTTTTCATACATTTTTTTTTTTTTAAGTTGAGTTTTTGTGCCTTCTTTAAATGTCTGGCCATTACTAGGGATCTGAACCCTTGACCTTGGTGTTATCAGCACCAAGCTTTCCCAAGTGATCTAACTGGCCAGGCTTTTAAGACATTCTGTGCTGCTGCCAGACAGTGTCTACTTCAGCAAAGGCTTACTGAGCATCTCTGATGTGCTAGGCATTTGTTTTTCAGGTCCACACTTTCTTATGTGCAATTCTGAAGTCTAGAAAGCTCTGAAACCAAAATATTTCTCAAGTGTTTTGGCACAAACTCATTTGGTGGCAACACCTGAACTGACCTAATGTGAGGGTGTTTATAGTCTTTATTTACTCCACATGGTATGAATATTCATGTCTTGCAGTAGAATTAACATGTTTGCTTATGAGGAACCACCTGAGAACCTGGGGTTTTTAATTGTATATAGTAAATGCACCATATTACCTTTTTTTTTTTTTTTTTTTAAAGAGATGACCGGTAAGGGGATCTTAACCCTTGACTTGGTGTTGTTAGCACCACGCTCACCCAGTGAGCTAACCGGCCATCCCTATGTGGGATTCGAACCCTTGGCCTTGGTGTTATCAGCACCGCACTCTCCCGAGTGAGCCACAGGGCCGGCCCCATATTACCTTTCTAAAATCCAGAAAGTCCTGAAACACAGCTGACTGCAAGAGTTACACAGATGGGACTGTGGACCAGCATCATGGAGTAAGCCCTGGACTTAGAATTGGAAGAAGTGGGTTTGCATCCCTCCTCCTGAAATTATGTCTTACATAACCCTGGGCAAGTCCATCTTCAGTTTCCTTACCTAAGAAATGGGACCTTTCCTGCTCAAAACATATCGTGAGCTCAGAAACCAGATGACTGAGCTTGTTAGAGCTATGTATTAACAAAGGTTCTGAATGAGATCTGAGGATTATCCCATCTGAGGAAAGTTTATTAACTTTACTGCATGGATGTATTGGCCTTTCTCACTAGCTGATTTTTTTGATTTTTGGTGAGATTTCATAAAAAGGGGGCTACCAGATTGCTGACTTTTGATCTGAACTCTTGCTGTACCTTGGCTTTCTGTAGCACCCTTCCTTGGTTGGAGGTTACAATGGATGGGCTCCTCTTCCTCAGCTCGGAAACACAGTTGACAGGGAGAGATTGCTCTGAGACGTTGTTCTGGGGTTTATTTGTAGTTTCCTGTTGATGATAAAAAAATAGTTAAATGAATGAGGTCTAGTGCTGGCTACCTGCACCCAGCTTGCCCTCAAAAGGACTAATGCACTTTAAAATAGCAGGTATGCAGGCTGGCTGATTAGCTCAGTTGGTTAGAGTGCAGCCTTTTAATACCAAGGTCACAGGTTCAGAACCCTATACTGGCTAGCCGCCAAAAAAAAAGGAAAAAAAAAGATGCTTAAATAATCAGGCACTAGGCAGACATGCCAGCATTGAACAGGGGGAGGGGAAGAAGGTACTGAGGGCCTTGGGATAAAGATAGTGATGATTAAAATTACTGGATCCTCACTATGCACCAGACATTGCATGAATTAGCTGATTTAGCTTTTCAATAACCTATGAAGTAGGTACTGTTATTATCCATCCCATTTTACAGATGAGGAAACTGGGAAGGTCAAGTTGCTGTGCAAGGTCACAAGTCTGGTAAGTGAGACAGCCAGGATTCAAACTTCACAGCTCTACTCTTAACCTCTGTCCTGTATTCCTTCTCATTTTCTACATTACCTTCACCCTTTAATTTTTCCAGATAGTAGTACCTTACTTTGAGCATGATATCTTAACAACTAAGCCTGCTAGGAATTTAGAGAAGACTTCTTCATTTCCAAAGGGTATCAAAAGCATCAAAAGTGGAGGGAAAAGCACTCTGGAATAGGAACATCAGGGCATGTGGTGGGAGGAAGCAGCTGGGACGAATGAACCAGTTCTAGCTCCTCCACCAGCCCTCTGTGACTCTGGGAAGTTGTTTTGCCCCTGGCCCTCATGTTCTTCATCTGTAAATGAGGTTCAAAATGTCTCATGGGGAGGAAGTGTAGGGGTGTAAGACACAGAACTGGCTTCAGAGTCATGGGGTGTGGTCTGACCAGGCAGTGTGACTAGGAACAACAATAATACAGCTCCCAATGACAACTCATACTTATCAGTTGAGCTATTTCATCTCTTTGAGTTTCAATTTCTGTGCCTATTTTATTTTTGGTGACTGGCCAGTACAGGGATCCAAACCCATGGTCTTGGTCTCATAAAGCTGCACTCTAACCTACTGAGCTATCTGGCCAGTACCCTCAATTTCCTTGTCTGAAAACAGGCAAAAACATTTATTCTTCCAACAAACATTTATTGTACCTACAATTATTCAGACTTTGTAAGGGTTAGGGTTATGATGATAAACAAAATAGACATAGTTCAATTTTAATAAAAATACAATCTAGTGGGGGAGACACAGTTAGGCAAGTAAGGACACAAATACACACACACACACACACAAATTATCATTAGATGCTATGAGGAAGTATAATAGATGGGACTATTGGTAATTTAGACCAGTGGTTCCTAAGTAGGGATGATTTTGCCCTCTGAGGAAACATCTGGCAGTTTTTGGAGACATTTTTAGTTATACTGGGAGTGAGGTGCTACTTGCAACCAATGGGTAGAGGCTAGTGCTAAACATCCTACAATGCACAGAATAATCCCCTATAAGAAAGAATGAAGCCCAAAATGTCAACAGTGCTGAAGTTAGGGAACACTGATATAAACGGGGACAGGAAGTATTCTCTAAGGAAGGCCCATTGGGGTGAGAATATCTTCCTTGCAGGGTTCCTGGGAGCATTAGAGATAACGGCTGCAAAGCCCTGAGGACAGGACCTAGTACATTGGACATCCAAGGAGAGGACATGTGCCACGGTGGCTAAAGTAGGGCTCTGGAGTCAGACTTCCTGAGTTTAGAATCCTGTCTCCCACTGTGCTGAGTGGCCTTGAACAACATCTCTGAACCTCAGTTTCCTTGTCCGTCAAACGGGGTTAATGCATGTAATACCACCTCACAGGACTGCTGTGAAGATTGTGTGAGATGGTACAGGTTCAGATGCTGTACTTGCCTATGGTAATTGATCAACACGTTTGTTATTCAACATATGGTAGCTATTGTTATCATCAATAACCCCAAGGCCATTGTAAAATCACCTTCAGGATAAAGAAGTCAAACGGCGGTGCTGCTGTGGAAAGGACAACAGGCCAGAGGCCAAGAGAACTTGCTCCCAGAGTTCCCTTCCTAGCTGTGCCACCTGTGGCATGTCCCTCACCTCTTTGGACCTCAGTTTTCTCATATGTAAATGATCCTAAATCCTACCCCCAGAGAACGACCATGATGGAGACATCTGTAGTGTGTGAGGGGATTAGGCAGCAGCTGTGCCCGCTGTAGAAGGCAGTGGACTCACCCCACTCTTATTCTTGCTGCTCACGGACAGTCCCAGGGCTGGGCCCCCTGCCAGGGACTGCTGCAAGCGCTGCTTCACAGACACCAGCCTCAGCTCTAGGTCGATCCGGCGCTCCTCCTTCACCCGACACTGAGCTTCCAGGGTGGCCACGGCTTCCTCCAGAGCCTTTGACTTTGCTCCTGAGTCCAGAGACACTGATGAGAAACAGCTGAGGCTGGCCTGAAGCGGCAGGGAGTCTGGCAGGGCCTCAGGCCCTTGCCTGCCCCTCCTGAGGGCCTTTCCAGTCCCCACAGTCCTGGATAAGAGATGGACTTTGGGCCTGGGGTTCCAGCTTCTTGCTGGGTGGTGTGGTCTTTACCCGCTCAGTACCCATTTCCCCATCTTCTAGAAACAGCACCCATTGGGAAACTACCTTTCCCTTCTCATTCTCTATAGTTTGGGTGGGACTGACCCCACTGCTCATTCAACGGTTTGTCATATAACTTAGGCTTGCCCCATAATCACATCTCATCTTCTGGTCACAGTGATTGGTTTAGGGATCAATGCAGGTTCAATCAGAGTGAATCCCGAGGCTTATATGGAGGTCTTTAGGAAGAGGAGCTCTCTCTGCTGAGACAGCTGGACTGGGTGAGGGCTGGAGCTGCACTGCCATTGTGCCACCACAAGGGGGAGAGAGTGAAAACAGGAAAGGAAGGCAGAAGTGTGAGTTAGAGAGATGAGCTTCCTGGTGACATCATGTAAGTCCCTGGATCTCACTACACCTGATTTCTCAATTTCCCCATTACTCTTTCTTCTTTTCATTTCTATGCCAGTTTGACTTTGGTTTCTGTTACTTATAAAGAAGAGCTATAACACAGGGCTTTTCACAAACCAGGATTTCCAGCAGGATTTTGCTGCTTATTCAGTTTAATCCAACAAACCTATATTAGTATCTTCTTTGTGCCAAGGGCTGTGACAGATCTTACCAGGTTTAAAAATTAGTTTCATTCTTTGCCCTGAAGGAGACTGCACTGGAGGATTTTCCAGTAATGTTTACATTCATTCATTCAGTAAATATTTATTGAGTGCTTACTGTGTACCAGACACTATACTAGGCCTTTGGTATATATCAGTGAACAAAGCAGGCAAAGATCCTTGCCCTTATGGAGCTTATATGCACAAGTATGTTACAAACAATAAATAAAAATAATAAATACAATAAATAATTTGGTAAGTTACAAAGTGATGGTGCTATAGAAAATAAAATTGAGCAGGGCAAGGATAGTCAGCCTGCTCCATATCCTGGTTCTGACTCTTAGAAAATTCTTCTTTATATTGAACCCAAACTGCCTTCCTGTGCTTCCTTCCCACTGATTCTGGTTCTTGGTCACACAGAACAAGTCTTATCCTTTAAAACAGAAGTTCTCAATCTGTGGCTCATGGAGTCTTAGGCAACCTATGGATGGGCTCCAGGAACAGGCACATGAGCTCCTGAAATTGCGACATTGTCAATTGTGTTTCTTCTTAGCAAAGTGTCCACAGGTTCCATCAGATTCTCATAGGGCTATGTGATCTTGCACATATTCTATAAGAACTGGACTTCTGTTCCCTTCAGCACTTGGAGAAACCTTAGGCCGAGAGTGGCAAACTGCAGTTAGAGAGAGGACTCAAAGAAAACACAGCAGAAAATTGGGTGTGGAGGAGCCCAGAGCAGGCAGGGCCTGCTGAGGTCCCTGGATATCAGAAGAGGATCCTGGGAAAATGTCACTGTCTATCATATCTGTAAATGAATGAATGTGGGGTTCAAAATGATCTCTTATTTCCTTGATTCTAAGGCACGCTTTTGTTTTTCACATCTCTAAAATCATGTTGCATCTTATTACATTAAGTGTACACATTACCATGATGCGTTTTCAGCCCCTCACCCAAAAGCCGTTATTAAATTGATGGCCCTTCCTTTAATTAGGAAGAATTATGATGATAATGATGATTTCATTTCTATGCCAGTTTGACTTTGGTTTCTGTTACTTATAAAGAAGAGCTATAACACAGGGCTTTTCACAAACCAGGATTTCCAGCAGGATTTTGCTGCTTATTCAGTTTAATCCAACAAACCTATATTAGTATCTTCTTTGTGCCAAGGGCTGTGACAGATCTTACCAGGTTTAAAAATTAGTTTCATTCTTTGCCCTGAAGGAGACTGCACTGGAGGATTTTCCAGTAATGTTTACATTCATTCATTCAGTAAATATTTATTGAGTGCTTACTGTGTACCAGACACTATACTAGGCCTTTGGTATATATCAGTGAACAAAGCAGGCAAAGATCCTTGCCCTTATGGAGCTTATATGCACAAGTATGTTACAAACAATAAATAAAAATAATAAAAACAATAAATAATTTGGTAAGTTACAAAGTGATGGTGCTATAGAAAATAAAATTGAGCAGGGCAAGGATAGTCAGCCTGCTCCATATCCTGGTTCTGACTCTTAGAAAATTCTTCTTTATATTGAACCCAAACTGCCTTCCTGTGCTTCCTTCCCACTGATTCTGGTTCTTGGTCACACAGAACAAGTCTTATCCTTTAAAACAGAAGTTCTCAATCTGTGGCTCATGGAGTCTTAGGCAACCTATGGATGGGCTCCAGGAACAGGCACATGAGCTCCTGAAATTGCGACATTGTCAATTGTGTTTCTTCTTAGCAAAGTGTCCACAGGTTCCATCAGATTCTCATAGGGCTATGTGATCTTGCACATATTCTATAAGAACTGGACTTCTGTTCCCTTCAGCACTTGGAGAAACCTTAGGCCGAGAGTGGCAAACTGCAGTTAGAGAGAGGACTCAAAGAAAACACAGCAGAAAATTGGGTGTGGAGGAGCCCAGAGCAGGCAGGGCCTGCTGAGGTCCCTGGATATCAGAAGAGGATCCTGGGAAAATGTCACTGTCTATCATATCTGTAAATGAATGAATGTGGGGTTCAAAATGATCTCTTATTTCCTTGATTCTAAGGCACGCTTTTGTTTTTCACATCTCTAAAATCATGTTGCATCTTATTACATTAAGTGTACACATTACCATGATGCGTTTTCAGCCCCTCACCCAAAAGCCGTTATTAAATTGATGGCCCTTCCTTTAATTAGGAAGAATTATGATGATAATGATGAAGAGAAGGAAGAAGAGTAGGAAGGGGAGGGGAAGCCCACCTCTCCTGGGTAGGAAACCAGGTGACCTGTGCAAGAGACCTCCCCTTACTGTGCCAGGGGAAGTGCCAAGGATGAGCCACCCATGGGTGCTCAGGACCACACCCACATAGGTACCTGGGCTGCTCCGAATGGCTTCCTTTAGTTCCCTCTTCTCCTGCCGCAGTGCCATCAGTTCTGTCCGAATGGTCTCTTTCTCTTTCTCCAACTTCTCTTTTTCCACCAGGTACCTCCGGGCATCCTCCTCAGCTCGGTTCTTCCCATACTTATATTGATTGGCACCTGCAGAGATGTGGGGAAGGAAAAGGCCCTCAGTTCTGACCTCTGGTAAGGGTACTTGGGTGGTGTTAGCTTCTCTCTCCTCCTCAACTTCTCCATCAATCAAATGGAAATATTTAGATCTATTCCCTTAGATATATTTAGCATGAAGCCCCTAAGGAAATAAGCAAAATGGAGGCAATAGAGCACAGGGACTAGGAGCAAGGGCTTTGGAATCAGACAAACCAAGGTTTGTGTTATTTTTGCCTTTTTTGGTTGTGTGACATCAGGCAAAAGTGAATGGTGGTGTTTTTGTGCCTCTTCCCCCAGGCCTTAGTTTCCTCATTTATAAGTAAGGATGCTGATAAAATTTATCTCAAAGGGTTGTGTTAATGTTTAAGTGAGATAATTAAAAGTATTTAGCATACTACATGGCAAATAGTGGGTGCTTAGTAAATGTTAGATAATAATGATGATAATATAAAACAAATTTTATGATGTATAACACACTTTGGTTTTGAAAGGGTATGTTTTATAGTCATCTCTAATATATATGACAAGGAGACAGCTACGTCAGATCTATGGAGATTCCAGACCTTGGGCTAAAGTCAGGCATTGTCCATATTTTTAGTGGGGAAGGGTGGGGCAAGGGAGAGACCCAGTAGTCTACTGTAGGCTCAACACCATGGTGGATAATGACAACAAATGATTATGGCAAAAATTTATTGAGCGCTTATTGTATGCTAGGCACTACATACTAAGCCATTTACTTGCATTGCCATTTACTCCTCACAAAACTTATTTCTAGCTCTATTTTATTGTTGAGGAAACTGAGGCACAGAGAGTTTAGGTTCCTCTGCTAATGGTGGCAGAGCCGATGTTGAACCCATGTAAGTCTGACTCTAGGGTCCCTGTCATGCAACGCTGCTCTAGCTGGGCCACGGCCATAGTCCAAACTCTCAGGGAAAGTTCAACTTTTTTTCCTACACACAGCCACACACAGCCCTTTGTAAGTCAGTAGGGTTTGAAATGATTTCCACGGTTTACTGATAATTGTGGGGTCTCTTCTCTCCAGCTCTTATAGGGATTGCAGTGGTCACCCACAGTCTGGTAAAATTTTTGAAAAATGGGTAGACCAACAAAAGGTTATCAACATTTTATTGCATCAGATGAGGACCTTTTTGTGCTATTATTATTATATATATTTTATCTATATATGTTACAAATCCAACAATGCAGTTATAACGATTAGTTTATATAGTTTTATGTCTATTAAAGAAGTGAGAGAAGAAAGGAGAGTAGGTATGTATTTATAGTTTTTTATATTAACCTTCTTATTTTCCATCTGGTGTCATTTTCTTTTACCACATAACTCCTCTGTGCTATTATTGTCAAATTTTTACATTTCTATATATTGTATATTAAAACCCAAATAGTTTTTTCAATTCAGTAAGAGAATAAAGAAGAAATATGCATTTGTCTTTTATAGTTATTTAATCACCTTTACCAGTGCTGTGTTTTGTGTATGTGTGAATTAAAATTACTGTTTGGGGTCACTTGCTTTCAGCCTGAAGAACTTCCTTTTGCATTTCTTGTAAGGTAGATCTGCTATCAACAATTTTTCTCAGTTTTTGTTTATATGGGAATGTCCTTATTTTACCTGCATTGTTTGAAAGACAGCTTTGCTGGATTTAGGGTCTTGGTTGACACAGTTGTTTTCTTTCAGTGTTTTGAGTGTGTTATCCCACTGCCTTCTGGCCTCTGTTGTTACTGATGAGAAGCCACTTGTTCATCTTATTGGGCTTCTCTTGTACATGATGAGCTGATTTTCTCTTCTGTCTTCAAGATTTTCTCCTTGTCTTTGGTGCCAGCATTTTTACCATGATGTGTCTTTTGTGCATCTCCTTGCCTTTATCTTACTTGGACTTCACTGAGCTTCATGGATGTATAAATTAATGATGTCATAAATTTGGCAAGTTTTCAGCTATTATTTATTCAAATGTTTTTCATCCTCCTTTCTTTCCTTCTGGTGCTTCCTTTACACATATGTTAGTACACTGAATGGTGTCCCATATTTCTCTGAGGCTCTGTTCATTTTCCTTCATCATTTTTTCCCTCTGTTCCTCAGCTTGCATAATCTCTATTGATCTGTTTTCATGTTTGTTGACTCTTCTGCCAGTAAAATTTACTGTTGAGTCCCTCTAGTGAGTTTTTCATTTCAGTTGTTCTACTTTTCAGCTCTTTCTTTTTATAATTTCTATCACTTTATTGCTAGTCTATTTGATAATACATTGTTATCTCATATTCCTTTACATCTTTAAGCATGGTTTCCTTGAGCTCTTTGAAATATTTATAATGGCTTCTTTGAAGTCTTTGTTAAATTCTACATCTGGGCCCTCACAGGCAGTTTCTGTTGCTTGCTTTCCCCCCCCCCCTCCCGTGGCTCATTCGGGAGAGTGCGGCGCTAGTAACGCCGAGGCTGCGGGTTCGGATCCTACATACGAATTGCCTGTGCGCTCACTGGCTGATGCCTAGAGAACCAGTCTCACTACTTCTTGTTGAGAATTGGATGTTTTAGATAATATATTGTAGCATCTTTGAATACTGCTCCCCACCCCACCCCACCCACCAAGGGTTATTGTTATTTGCTAAGCTGGACCATATTAATGAAGTCTATTTCCTCCTGCAGTGTGAAGCCTCTGATGTTGCTCCTTAGAGGACACAGCCCTGGGCCTGTGTATAGTCACCCTGGGATGACAATGGTTTTAGCATAGCTCTCTCTAACTTTCTCCCTGTTCTCTCTGTTGCTTGTCTGTGTTGGTATCACACCCAGCTGTTAGGGTCTACTAATTGTCAGCCAATTGCCCTATTATTTTTGACAATGCCTTGGGACATAAATTGCTCCACAGTTTGATCCAATTAAATTCAGCCCCTTTACAGGGTAGTTTTGGAGGCCAGTCTTGGAGATTTATTCTGACCTCAGAACTCTTCCTAGCTGTCAGTTTCTGTGATTCTCTCTTATAAACTAGCTGGTCTATGGTTTAGTTTATTGCTCTCATGGAGGTACTAGCCTTCTCTTACATGTTTACCACCAGATCTCCACTGTTTTTTAAGAGCACCCTTTGGCTTGCACTTCCCTACACTCTGTTCCAATCACAGTCAATTTTTTTGAGGGAGAGCTTTTGAGTTCTGTGTTCTTATGGCCTGTCTTTCTCCCTGGACGTAAATCTCTGAGTCACTGCTCTGGATTTGGGGGTTGGAACAATGTCGTGGGCTATGGTTTGAATATTTGTCCCTTCCAAAAAAAAAAAAATCTTGAAATTTAACTGCCAGTGTAACAGTATTAAAAGGTAGGACCTTTAAGAGGTGATTAGGCCATGAGGGCTGCACCCTCTTGGGTGGAATTAATGCTGTTATAAAAGGGCAGGTTTGACCCCCTTTTGCTTCTTTGCCCTTCTGCCCTCCATCATGGGATAATGCAGCAAGAGGGCCCTTGCAAGATTCTAGTGCCTTGACTTGGACTTCCCATCCTCCAGAATTGTGAGTCAATAAATAAATTACTCAGTCTCAGGTATTATGTTATAGCAGCACAAAATGGAATAAGACAGCCTGCTTCTCTTGGAGTGATACTCCTGCTATATAAGCAGGGTACTGGGAGGGGGTGATAACCTCTGGTCTTCTCTGCTTGCCTTCCCTGGCATGAAACCTCTGCTCTATGAGTGAGCTGGAATGAGAGCAATTGGGACCCCAGTATTTTGGCCTACCTCACCTGGGGTAAAGCCTCTGCCCTATGAGCTGGGTAGAGGAAGGAAGCTCCCTACCTCTTGGCTACATTCACCTGGAATTTAGCCTCTGCAACATGGAACCGGACATGATGAGAAATGTTGGCAGACTGCCCTTCCTGGGGAGATACTATAGCCTTTGACTGGGAGCTGAAGGAAAAGGGAGCCCTATTTTCTTCCCACCCCTTTCTGGAATGGAGATTCTTTCATGTTGAATTGGGGGAAGGAGTAAAGAAGTGGGTTGTGGATCAAATGCCACAAACTTACACCATTCTTACTGAGGTTTAGTACATTTTCTAGCATAATTGTTTCTCCAGAGACTCTAAATTATTGTTTTAATTATTTTCACCAGTTATGGTTGTTTTGCTGGGGAGTGTGTCCATGGAGCTTCTCATGCCACCATTTTTCTCAGCAATCTACTTGGCCTTCATGATTCTTGCTTCCTGATATTCATGCCCTTTTGTAATCCCCTCCTACACTAAGTAGTGCTGACCTGTGTAACTATTAGGATACTGCAGAAATGACAGAGTGTGACTTCTAAAGGTAGGTCATAAAGACATTGCAGCAGCTATCTTGCTGCCCCTTCTTGGGTCACTTGCTCTGGGGGAAGCCAGCTGTCACATCATGAGGACAAGCAACCCTATGCAGAAATCCCCAAGCAACCCTATGCAGAAGTCCCCATGGCAAGGAACTGAGCCTCCTCCCAACTTCCAGCACAAACTTGCCAGGCACGCGAGTGAGCCATCTTAGAAGCAGATCCTCCAGCCTGTCAAGCCTTCAGATGACTTCACATCACTAGCTGACATCTTGACTACACCTCATAAAAGACCCCAAGCCAGATACCTAAGCCACTCGGGATTCCTGACCCACAGAAGCTGTGTGACATACAGAGCTCATAGTTTTGAGCTGCTAAATTTTGGGTGATTTGTTGTTTGTTTTTTCATTTTGGCAGCTGGCTGGTGCAGGGAGTAACTTGTTATGTAGCAATAGGTAATTAATACGTGATCTTGGGCAAGACCCTTTGCTATAGACTGAATGTTTACGTTACGCCCCCCCCCCCCCC